ATATTGCCACGTGGTTGCGACGGCAAAGAATATGGTACTTGAGTAGCTCAAGACGACACTTTTTATTTCGTGAACGTGTGCCTGGAAAAGTACAAAGTACTAGAAATTCACGCTTTACGCAGATAGCGGTAATAAGCATTGGTCGTCGGCAATATTATCTGCGTGAAGGTACGTCGCCATATATGCCCGTGGCATGGAACATCATCCGTATTGTAGTGTCTCAAGCTTATCAGAAGATTCTAAAATAATCTAGAATTTTCGCAGACAGCCAAGCGTGCTTTGCGCAAGGCAATTGATTAATATGTGGTGTTTAACGTTTCAAAACCACCATATGATTATGAGAGATGCCGAAGTGGAGGACACCAGAAATTATGACAACCTGGGGTTCTTTAACATGCACCCAAATCTGAACACATGGGCCTACAGCATTTTCGCCTCTATTGAAAATGATGCCGCCACGGGCGGGATTCGATCGCGTGAGCTGCGGGTCAGCAGCCGAATAGCTTAGCTACTGAACCACAATGGCGGTGTCTTTGCGCTAGGCAGTGACATAAAAATACAAGCGAAGTGGCAGTATAATAATGTTGCGATAAAATTTCAGCAGATGCGACAGGTTCCACTGTGGATGCTATTTTCATACAGAACCGTCAGCGGGTAGCCACGCGTTGCTATAGATGTATCGACGTCTTTGGGTATTTCGAGTAGGCTAAGTGTCTACCTAAAACATGCGGCGTGACGACAGCACTCACGTTGACTGTAAATTTTAGCGAAACAAAGTGCACGCTTCGGTTGGATGATATGCATATTATTAAGAAGCTGTTGTGTATTCCTCAAAGGTCGAGATTGTCAATGGTCGAGCAAACCTTCACTATCACGTGCTGGATGAAAGAAATATATCTATGTAATGTTTACAGCCAGCCTATAGACCGCAACCACAACTGACGGTGTGGGCCGACATCACTCCTGTAAGTCTATATATTTAGGGTTGTATCCGTTACAGTAAAAAGTAACTAAATACGTTACTCGTTACTCTAATAAAAAAGGGAACGTTTCACGGCTTCACGTTATATATATACATAAAAAAGGTAACGCATCACCATCACCGTAACCGAAAAAACATAACGAATGTTACCTCTGCCGTAGCTCCGGAATCATCAGTTTTAATCAATGTGTCTTTGCTGCAGAAACCCACAATGAGAATTTCAAATTTATGTTTCACACATACTAACCCAAGCAAGGAATATACCCAATGTTCAATCAACGAGAATGTTTTGTACAAATGTACTGAACCTTAGCAATGTTATATAGAGGGTTAATGACGCCGGCCCATGTGATGGCTGATGACTCTGCAGTGACCCAGGGTGAAACCTTATTTTTTTTTTCATTGGAGCATTATACACAAAGTGATGTTTAATAATATACGGTACTCACAAAGAAGCTATCATTGAATTCTCAAGAAATTTACAACAATCGGCCTTTTCTTGATCCTTCAGCACCTTCAATAAAGCATGTCGAAATCGGTACTGTTGGTCCTAGCAAGCGAAATGGCCCGCCGTGCGCCAGTATGCAATCACGAAGGCCTACGGAGGACTACATTGGTGGCTTTTTATTGGAGAGGGGGGTATTGGGAGATGTCGTTGGGAGGAGGGGGGGCACTTGCAAGTTTGTGACACCAGCTGTGGCTTGCAGACGCGTAAGTCTAGAAAAATCACTAAGGGGGACACACATCTTGCAATAGCAGCCATATTGTTTTAATATTTTGCAGGTTTTATTTTTGTTTATATAAGAATTAAAATAACGCCTAAAAATCAAATTGGCAAACGAACGTAGGTTCCCAGCACTCGTAATTGCATTCTTCTATTGAGTCTTTTCCGGAACCAGTCGAGAGTGGCAGTTGCAATTTCAATTGTCTCACACACCTGATGGGTATTGAGCACGTGTACACGCTACAAAAAGCATTAAAAAGTTGAATGTTTTATACATACTTATCAAGCATTCTTATTTGTGACGTTTTTAAGAGAAATTTTAATGGGACCCACTTGCAAGGGGCGTTCCCCTCCCCTCACCGAGCACAAAGGGGTCGGGGAGTCAACGTTCTCTGCAGGCGTGGTCAACGGGTCTCCAGGTCGTGACCAGTGTGGACTGTGTATCTGAGCAAATATTGCATTTGTTCTCATCTGCACATATGGCCATCGACAGGTTTTTGTCTTGGGGGTAAGCAAACCCTTCTTTCAACTTGCATCATGGCTGAGGGAGGGGAGTCGTGTTGGTGTCGCTAGAGTGGGTAGCAAGTGCTGGTGCGGCTTGAAGTGGTCAAGTGCCCCTTTTGCACCACCCGCCTCGCCCACGCCCATGTATACACTTCATTCATTGAATACTGCGGTGAGGACTAGTTGACTAAATGCACAGATTTGTTTTCTTCCGCATCTTATACCGCTACATAAAACATTCTCATATTGTGAAAAGTAGGTATATCGATTTGTTTGAAGGAAAGTAAAATCCAAGGCATAACAGATACTCAAAAGAGCGGTTTCCTGCAATCGCAATAAGAAAACTCGTAGCAGAGGTGCTTCTTTTTTCGTGACGCGTACAATGTAAAAGTGAGATCCGATTCGGAAAAAGCGAACTGAGTGACGTGCGTCGGTGCTTGCTCAATGTTCAATGAAAGAGGGTTTCATGAAGTATGACGTAGCCAACAACAGAAAAAAACTGCTGCATCTTAAATAAAAAAAACAAGCAAAGTGCTGCACATTCGTGGTAGAACATGGACATATATTGAAATACGCGTATTTTATTACGAAAGCGAAGTAAAAACTATTTTGCAAAACGCTTAGAATTCATCGTGATGTCGACACATTTGTGTAGTGTCGTTAGTGCTATTTGGATGAAAATCCCTGAATTTCAAGTAATTCAGTAACCTGTGGCAGAAGAACCTTTTGAATTTTCAGTTTCGGTTTCCACGCCGCTGGCGCCGCCGCCGCCGATGAAATAACCGGCGTGCGCCGACGACGCCGCCACCGCCGACTCTCGGCGACCCCCACGCCGCCGCCGGTCGAAATCGCCTCGGCGCACACCTCTGCGCTCAGCTAAGCGTTTTTTATCTGCAGCCGATAAGGGCGCGTTAGTCGAGGGTTGTTCGAGACCTGCAACTGTGCATTACTGTTTCGGAGGCTATGCAAAGTGTTGCATTGTTGCACCGTCCGCCACAGGCGACGTTAGCGACCGAGAACATTTTAAAATGAAGGAGGAAAAGGGTGTGGCAGCTGTTTTTTTGCTCATGCGGTAGGCATCTTCCTAGAGGAGGCGTTGACTGAACACCCCTTGCCAACGCCTCCCTTTGCACAGCACTTGGTACCGTGCTGCTTATTGTCTTTCTCACCACACATGCTCTCAAAAAGTGCAGTGTCAGTACGATTAGCCTACGCTACAATAAGATATTGGGCAACGCATTGGGGAGCAGCACATCGCGTTGAATAAAAAGAAATGACCCCACGCTGTTTTGCTAGGTATTCCTGCATGTAACATTGTTCTCGATATTGTGTTTATAATCTGTGTTCTTACCTGCGCGTACTATCTTTTTACGACTAACTAGATCAGCTTCCAGTTGTGGTAAGCAAGTGCATCCTGGGAAAACACCATTTACAGGATCATGTTGAAAAGGAAACTTGGTTTACGTTTCAAAAGAGGTAAAAGGGTTGCAGTGAGATGCACTTCAATTGAGTAACAGTTGGCGAATAATGAAAGCCAAAGTCAAACATTTCAGCAAGTCAACATTTTTGTGAAAGTTGTCACGGATGACAAGTTAAGAGAATTAGCTCGTACGCCTATGCTCGTACGTGCTGTCGCCGCCGAGGCGGGACACCGACGGTCAATTCGCGCGTTTCGTAAGAATCTAAGGCTTTTTTTTTCTTAAAATATGACGTGTGGTCTGATTTATCTCTACCGGATGATGTAAACGTGGTCATCACCTATCTCGTTTACAACTTACCCATAGATATTAAAAAAGTGAGCGCATTCGCAAAATTTGTACAAAAAAAATATTAGGTACACAGAGAAGCAAGACAAATTAAATAAATGAACTTCATGTTACGAGCGAACGTCAGAAAACAAGCGTACGTCGGACATTATAAGTACTGACGCGGCTTTTGCGGTGTGTTAGAAAAGCATAACGCTCATCAAATTTTACCGTGTAAGTAAATTTAAGGATTTATTTCGCATACTCGATGTTTCGGGCTTCGTAAATATACATTGCTATCAATAATTAAATAGTTGGAGTTATGAAAACAGATCACTACTAGCAAGGGGATATTCTTTTCATGTTTTACCTCGTTCGAAAATTTTGTGCTGATGCGATTCCTCTAGATAAAGAGAATCCTGACGCATAAGTGATCCCAGATCATACCGAGACATACAGTTGCTGTACCTGCTTAAATATATGTTATTGCATGGAACATTTTTGCCAGGTTAGCGCATGGGGAAATACGTATTTCAACAATTTCCTAAAGTGGCGGATCATCTTTACGTCTGTACTTGCTCGTCGTATCTTGTTACAGTAATTTAATTTGCACAGCGAAAGTGCTGCTGTTGTGTGGATATATTTAATATCCCTGTCACACGGCCACCACCAAACTCCGTTGAACGCCGTCAACGTAAAGCTTCCCTAGGGGGTTCGACGGAGAAGGAGTTGTGGTAGTGTCACACGGCAATGACAAGGTTGTAACAGTCGCCGCGAGGGGGCTCAGCTGGCGCTGTTTGATTTTCGGGAAAGTATTCTCAATTCTTGTCTATTAATTTTTTTGTAAATCCTAGTTATGTGGTTTTTACAAAAAGCACTGTTAAGTAGGTGTGCGACTAACAAACCGTTAAAAATAATTTCAAATAAAAACGCATTTGCTAAATGTAGCGATGCTGCTAGTGATGCTGGCCACATTGTGCTTTTAGTTTTTTTTTTGTTGTTGTTGTTTGTAAACACAGAGAAAAATGCCCGTGTACATGCCCGGCACGAAAATTCTTGTGCTTCCTTGCTTCGTGAGCGCAGATTTTGTGTTCTTCAGTCATGAGTGACACAGCGGACGACGTGAGGAAGTGGTACGATATTGCGCTGGCAATGACATTGATCGGCTCCATGGATATTGAGATTGAGGCTGCTAGAGCCCGTGTGCGTGCTATAAGGCACCGTCTCATCGCGAACAGCCTGACGCTGAATGCGATGGCGTTGTCATCGAGGCGTGCGTCAAGGCGAGTTTGGGCATATCCACGATTCTCTCGCTGGTTTGAAGACACGCTCCCAAACCTAGGCGGGCAGAACTTCCGGCAGTCATTCAGAGTTTCACGTACTACGTTCAAATATCTTGTAGACGTATGTACGCCAGTAATGCAACGGCAGACTACAAACATGCGGGAAGCGGTGTCTGTGCAAAAAAGGGTCGCTGTTGCTCTCTACAAGCTGTGTTCCTCTGCTGAAGATAGAACAGTCGCCAATTTGTTTGACCTGGACAGGTCGACGGTGAACACGATACATAGAGAATTTTGTGACATCGTCGTGGAAGCCCTAGAAGATCAGTGGGTCAGGATGCTCGCAGCTGATGAAATGACCCACCACATACGTGAATTTTATGCTGTCACTGGCTTCCCTCAGGCAGTTGGAGCACTGGATGGCTGTCATTTCCCTGTCTCGCCTCCCAAAGAATATGCCATCGACTACTACAATTACAAGGGCTGGTAAGTGTGTACAACTTACATCAAAGTTGAAAGCTGGGCTGCTTGATACATTATTGTATACGAAAACTTGGTGAACAAACAATGAACATAAAAATATCAGCCCATGGGTATAAACAGATAAACTCTTAAGTGAATAAAATATGAATTCGTTATTGAAAGCGACACTTGATAAAAAATCATATCAAATGTATGATGCCTGTTTTGGATAAGCTTTAGTATGCACTAAACAATATTTCAGATGTTAAACATCATCTATATTACGGTGTCTCATTCCAGCACACAGCTCAAGAACAGTTTTGTTCTAGCATGGCCACACATACATGCCACATCTCGCCTCATAATGCATGTGTACACGGCATCGGCATGTTTCTATTACAATTGTATACAATGTGACTGTGAAGTTGTTTGTGCACTGTCATCTCCTTATTGTGATGGTAATATACTTGCAGGTACAGTGTGATCTTACTGGCTTTGGTGGACCACAAATACCGCTTTCGATACATCAACGTCGGTTCCCCAGGCAGGTGCCACTACGCCCATGTCTACCACAGTTCAAGCTTGCCAAGCATTGTGACAGGACCAACATTTCGGAGTCCTACAATTATTTCTGTCAACAGTTCTGTTGTGCCACCATTATTATTATGTGACCAAGCATTCCCGCTGATGCCCAATTTGATTAAGCCTTTCCCTGGTTCAAGTAAAACCTCTGCCAAAAAAGAATTCAATTACCAGCTGTCAAGGTCTAGGCGAATTGTGGAGAAAGCCTTTGGAAGACTGAAGGCCCGCTTTAGATTTGTCATGAAGCGTATGGAGTGCGATGTCACGAATGTTGCTGTTATAATAAGGCATGCTGTGTGCTGAACAACATTTGTGAACACTTCAATGACAGGGTATCCAAGCAACGGATAAATGAGGCAGACATGCAGAACGCACTGTACGAGCAACCACACCACAGCCATGCAAGTTGGATGTGGCAGAGATGTTAGGGATGCACTCGTGCAATATTTTCAGCAGCACAGAGACAGCTAGATTTAAGTTGAATTGGGTATGAAACAAAAAATAATTATTTGCTCTAAAAAGAGACCAAGAAGCTTCAGCTTAAAGCTCAGTAGGTTTACCAGTCTGCTTTGAAGGTGTCATTGAGCCTGCTGTATTGCTGTGTTTTTAAAAACATCCCGTGAGCTTCTTGGGATGTGCCTTGGAGTCGATATTGCTATCATTTGTGTGTGCACGAGCAGTTTCCTTTTTTTAAGTATCCATGTTGAATCTCTGTTGTGTAATCCCCTTTCCCCACCTATGTATGTTTTCTTTTTATTTTTAAAGTTTGGAAAAAATTTCCAAGTGTGCATATTTCACACATTCTTTTCTTAAATTTGCACATGTTTATCTCCATTGTTCTGTTCCTTTTTGGACCTTGTAAAGTATGTTCACCGGGTCTGAAAAGCAAACGTTCGCTGTCATTTTTTGACATTGGGAAGGACTGGAGATCATATTTTAAAAAGTTATGGCTTGTCGTAAATTGGGTATCATGTTTACTTTGGACTTTATGTTATAAATGTGTCTGTAATAATAAAAGCATGTTGTGCCCTTAATAATTGTCTGCAGTTCAACCAGTGAAGCACATCAGTATGTATACTACTCAAACAATAGGGGCCTGAAAGAAACAAATGCTTACTGAATTAGAGAAACTTGTTTATTGAAATATTTCGAAAACAGGTCCACAAGTTTTTCCTGTGTTGCCACCTGCCGTTCACGCAGACCCTGCTCAATTTGCGTGGCAGTCTCCAGTGCTGCAATAAGCTTCGCTTGCTGTTCAAGCAGCGCACTCTGAAATTTTTCATTGGTGGACATCCGCTTTCTCTTTTGTGCTCAACGCTTCCCATGTGGCTGGCTCGCGCTGGTGCTGGGGCTAGGCTGGGGTTCCTGCTGGAGGTCCGAGGCACTGCTGCAGGCATCTGTCGCGGAGCAACCCTCAGTAGCCCCGTCTTCACCTGAGGACAGACTTGACCCAGTCTCCGTGCCCCGAATAATCTGAAAGACAAAAATCTGTTAGTGCGTGCCACAACATCAAGCTGCTTTCAGCCTAATGTGGCATTTATGATGTTGCACATTCTTGAAGTATTGCAAGAATGAAGCATGCAATAAAATGAACTAATCATATCGATTAGCCTCAGAAGGACGTACTCCAAGCTTTAGTTGCGACAAAAAGCTTGTTCTTTGGGGGCACATTAGTGCAATATTTTCATCCCATGCTGCTTTTTTATTTTTTCCATTGCTTGTAGATATCAAATGCCCTTGAGTGGTCTATAATCACAATTGACATTAGAATTTAGAGCTCAGTTTGGAGTGTCGCATTCTTAGGTTGCATTCTGCAATCACCAATTGGTCGTGGCACCGAAAATTTTTAGTTGTTATCGTAACGGCATTACCTTATAAAAATGATTTACATACCTCATAGACATTTGGGCTATGTCATAGACATAGCCCAGAAACCTACGAAGTTCGACGAAAAACGGCCAGACACTAGGTGCAGATCCGGTAGTTTTCTCCCGGGCTTCTTTCCTGATAACACAATTTACCATTAAAAAATCAGTGATGTAATGTATAACCACATTCTCTCTGGACTTGCTACATAATACCCGTGCCACACGGGCAGAAAAAATGGCATTCACCCCCGAATGCCTTCAGATTTATTGCCATTCGCGCGGTGCCACACGGGCGAACAAAATGGCATTCGTCCGAATGCCATTCGAATGCCATTCGCCACCAACTGCCTTCGCCACAACTCAGTTGACTGAGAAATGCCTACTCTCGACGACACAGCTCGCAAAGTGCGATTTACCTGAAAGTATATAAAACAAATCATATTGAGCTAAAATGAAATTTCCCGTCTTTTATTTGCACTAAAGTCTTAAAAAGATGCTTTGAACGTTATAGGAAGAAAATAAAGTATTGATAATGAAACGCATGTCAATTTTAGTGTATATTTACGCTGTGGATCTGACTAGTGTTGGCTTAGGTTGCTACGGTCGGCTGCAACGTTGTAAAACAAAGCAAGGAACTAAAACTTAGGACAGCGTAATACGCTTATTTCTACATTTGATGATTATATGATGTGTATGAAACTTGTAAATGCTTCTTATTTTTTTGTATTGCTATTCACTCAATGCTCACTTGGAAGGTGCTGTGATCGACATCATCAAGTCAAATGTCATTCGCCTTGGACGTGTAGCAGCGCCGGCGAAACGAATGTCATTCGGGAACTGGAGGCCTTCGCCACCAAATGTCATTTTCTATGCCCGTGTGGCACGGGTATTACTTTCGGTTAATTTCCTAACAGGTTAGTGCGCTGCATTATACATTCGCGTCAAGCTCCATGTCACAGTTAGCAACGTTTGTCTCTTATTTTCTTGTGTAGACGCGCAAGCCTGTGCTGTTGCATCATGCCAAAAACGAAAACGGTGAACAATGTATGCAAGGCAACCGCAAGCTATTTTTGATGTTTCAGGATGAAGACCTAAATAAAGACTAGTAGCTCGTGCACGCAATTTTACTCAATCATGTAGCTCATTTCGTAGGTTGCTTACCAATGCTCACAAATACTGGGAGTCCTAAATGATAAGATAGGATGCGTACGCAGGTAATCAGTTGAATACTTCGATGTTCATGGTGACCCAAATGCACTTTTTTTTTTTTAGCCAGGTAACGCGCACGAGCTGCCTCATTCCTATAACAAAGCCTAACAATTGCCTCATTCCAGATAAACAAAGTTGAACGTTGAGTTGACACGCAGAAATAACGCAACGGCAGAATATCTACACAGAATTAGCCCCTCAAAATAACTCCTTGTAACTAAATGTGCTTCGTGCAATAGCACCAACTGGAAGTGCCAACAAAAACTTACACGGGTTAGCACATGACTACACACCAGCTGTTAGGAACACGCGTGCTTTTCTGCTGTATGCATTCAACAGTATGCGAACTCACCTGTACTTCTGCGTGAGGTTGTCAATTTTGTTTTGCACTTGTCGGCGCGTCCTCAAAATACCTATCTTTGCAAGAGCGGCGACAATGGCGTCATACACTCTGGCGTTATGTTTTTCTCCTCGGAGCTCAGGAAGGTGGTCCTCCCAGATTCTAATCAACACCCAAGTGTCATTTTCACTCCATGTCACTCTTGGATTTGGTGGGGTCCCATTAATCGTTTCTGCAGCCGTCGAGGCAGGTGATGATGTTCTAGCGTTGTCAGTCATTTCTTTTAAACGTCAACACGGCGACGACCACAACCACACACGTGCACGAAATATTTTTCAATGGCGCCGGCACGCGCGACTCCCGAGGCACGGTGTGTAGGGCATCGGTGTTGAGAGTAAGTAAACTCTGGCGGGCGTAAATATATGTAAACAAACACGCGTTTTGAACGAGTACTGCAACGAAAGAACTTTTAATATTGCCAAAATGTATTATTCTTTCACTGTGGCCACTTTAGTGCTCGAAATTTTTCTCTGACCTCTAGACTGCTGGGAACGAGAGTACCTTGTTTCGCTGCGAAGGGAGATTGTTGAACGTCCTTCGCGAAATGCTCCGTTCACCTTCGTTTGCGTTAAGGGTGGCCGTGTAACACCAACCGCATCTTCGTTGTCGTAAAGACGAGGGAATTAAACGGTCATTACGGGTGCCCGTGTGACAGGGGTATAAGGCACTTTTCTATATTACGTATTTATTGTATAAACATGGAATAAAATGTGTTATTTTGACACTGGTCGTCTTTCGAATGTCTGATTTGAAAACAATTTTGATGCATGGCAAACTTTGTTGCTGTACGCTATGTCTAAAATGAAATACGTTAGAAGATATTGCGGTGTTACGGCCGTGTTCTCTTCTAGCTGTTCTCTGTTCTTAAAAGTAGTAGTCAAGGCTAACAAGTTATCTATTAGAACATGTGTGTGTGGCTGCAAACCACCGGCGACCATAACTAAAAGGCCCGTAATGGTGAGTCAAGCGGTCACTGCACGAAAGTATTTCAGCTGACTGAAAAAGTAATTTATTCATTACTCGTATTTCTTACATGAATGGTGTTATTACTTGCTTGCCCATGCGATTAAAGTTGTTTTCGTTCTTTCATGTTATTCGTTTTTGCGCACGCACAGCTACCAGATCAGCGTACTCGAACTCTATAGCACCAGAACATGACCACATTGATGCCGTTTCAAAGATCAGTTTTTGCGTTCTCTTGCTGCTCCAGGCACTAACACAACTCTTAACGATGGGCGAGCTCCATTCCGCACCTTTTATAAACTAATTAGGAAGAACGGCGAAACTACCCTCCTTATCTGACGGCATGACACAAAGTTCATTGTCTCTCAGAAACTCGGTCGTCTTCTGCACCAGAAGGTTATTGCTGGTAGGCTCACCCTGTAGGAGCACGTCGACGCCTTCTGAGATGCACCTGTCCGAATCCTCTGGGTGAAGCGCGACCAGCAACAGAGCGCACCATTGAAAGAAGCTCGGGTGCGGACCTCTGTTGCTGGTCGCGCTTCACCAGAGGATTCGGACAGGTGCATCTCAGAAGGCGTCGACGTGCTCCTACAGGGTAAGCCTACCAGCAATAACCTTCCGGTGCAGAAGACGACCAAGTTTCTGAGAGACAATGAACTTTGTGTCGTGCCGTCAGATAAGGAGTGTGGTTTCGCCTTTCTTCCTAATTGCTTGTACCTGGAAAAGGCGGTCACAGCTATCGGCTCGTTATTAAAGTTGAGCATACTTAAAGTCCCCTGCGTGCAAATACAGCGCAAAAACTACCGAGCGTAGAAGACACCCCTCGCTTTCCGAGCGCGGGAAGTCCACGATAGATGGATGGATTAATGTGGCTTTACCCTTTAGATTGTGCGGCAGCTAACGCTACCTAGCCGTAATACTTAGTCAACCAACAACTAGATTTATCTTTTTTTTCCTTTATATAGTGAAGTATAGGACTGGTACTTTGCAGTGAATGGTTTATTTTCACTCGTGCCTTGACTTTAGCCACCAATCAGATAACCTCCTTCTAGTTAATTCTACCCCCTTAAAGTCTATTTTGCCCTCCCTGTCCCTAAACACCAGTGCTTTGAAGAACTCTGCGCCATCATCCTAAACTATAGGGTGAAGCCCTTTACAGAACATTGTCAAGTGTTCGGCAGTTTCCTCCTCATCTCCGCATGCACTGCATACCGTGTCTACCCCTTCGTATTTGGCCCGATATGTCTTGCTTCGCAATACTCCCATCCCTGCTCAAACAGTAGAGAACTACCCCGAGTATTATCATAGATCCTTTCCTTGGCAATTTCCTGCTTAAAAGTTCGATATATCTCTAGAGCAGACTTCTTAATCATGCCAATTCTCCACATATCAGTCTTCATTTCCTTCACCTTCTTCTTAACCGATAGTTCTGTTTGGTTTGCCTCCCTGATGTTTTCTAAGTATTTACCTGTCAATTTTCTGGTTCGCTTTCTCCATTTTGTATCGACATTCTTCATGTACAAGTAGCCGAAAACCTTCCCAGCCCAACGCTCCTCCCCCATTTCTCTCAATCGCTTCTTAAATTTTATCTTGCTGCTAGCTTCCCTGCCCACTAATGATGTCCATCCCATATCACGTTGTGCTCCCTGATTTGGCGTATTCCTGTAAGCTCCTAAAGCAAGCCTACATATTCCACGTTGCTTAATTTCTAATCTTGCTTGAACCTCTGATCTCATGCATAAGACCACATTGCCGAAAGCTGGACCAGGAACCATCACCCCTTTCCATATTCCTCTCACGACATCATACCTATTGTAATTTCACAGTACCTTATGTTCCATCACCGCTGCATTCCTGTTTCCTTAAGTCATTACGTACATTTCGTGTTCCCTTAGGTACTCGGTCCCAATGCTTATTCATATGCCCAGATATTTGTATTTATTTATTATCATTAGAGTGACATCCTGTATTGTAAGCTCTCTATCTCCATTATCAGTAAAAATCATAACTGCTGATTTTTCCTTACTGAATTAGAAATCTAACCTATCTTCCTCATTACCGCAGATGTCCATCAATCTCTGCAAGTCTTCCTTGTTGTCGGCCATCAGCACTATATTTTCTGCGTACATCAATGCTGGTAGTGCCTGTTCAATAAGTTTTCCTTGTTTGGCGAAAGAGAGGTTGAAGCCAAGTCCACTTCCCTCTAATTTGGCCTCTAATCCTTGTAGGTACATCATGAATAACAAGGGCGACAGAGGACACCCCTGCCTAAACCCCCGTTTCATCTCTGTGGGCCCGGATACCTGTTTTTCTCACGGGTCCGGCGCAGCAGTTCACCGCAAAAGGTCAACGCGGGAGCCGGCGCTTTGGACCCTCCCCATCACAGTTTCATACAATTGTATGAAACTCTATGCTCCCCATATTCTAGGTCACTCTATGCTTGACCTACTTGCCACCGCTCTAACACGTGCGGCGAGGGGAACGCGTTGCAGCGCGTTCGTACAGACAAGTACGCACGGCGTTACACGCGCGAGTCAACGAGCTGCTTCGCATTTAAAAAACCACATGTTCACCAAGAACATGCTTTGGGCATTTGGTTGTCTCGTCCGAACATGCCCTTATCCTATAGCTTTCTTTGTTTTGCCCCATAGCCTTCATGCTATAATTTATATTTTTTCATAATCTTCACAAGTTAGAGAACCATTTTATGATGTCAGTAGGACAACCAACTCCACTGGTTGCACAAGTGATGTCTGAAAGCAAGCGCATTTGAAAACTGCACGGTGGTGCACTACGATTTGTAGTGATGTGCATGTTCTTTAACATGCACTTGTGAAGTAACATCACTTCAAAAATGTGAGGTGGCGTGTATGTCTGTCTTTCAAGCAGGCCTCCAATTGTCCCGGATAGGCGAGTGGTGCTACCATTTCATGAGCACATACTAATAGGTTTTGTGTCTGTTATTTTCTGCAACAGCACGACCTCTCATTCGACACTAGCAATAGATGCTATATAGCCGTCTTCCATGCCCATGCCCGCAAGTCAAAATTTCTAAAGGGACACAAAAGTGAGAAAATTTATTCAGACTAGATTGATAAACTTCACTGTGAGAACTGTATTGCCATAAATTTCCCCATCAGATGTTCATTAATGAAAAAAATATTAAGGTCAAAGTTTCGTTTGTAAGTTTGACATATTGGGAAGTGAAATCAGGAGTCTTAAAATACATTTTTCATATCAGTGGCTCAACGAAATATCCTGAAACTTGGTATATTAAACCTCTGGACCCCTCAGACAGCCTTGTGCCTCCTATAAGCCGATTCGTGAAAGCATATGACCAAGTAGGCGCCATCAAAATCTATGATGTCGCAATATTTGGAGCAGGAAAATGAAGGTGGTATCATTAACTACATTCTCTTTGAGTGCATTTTCTCACTTACCAAACGTCATCTCCCGGTAAGGATGGCAATTTCAGTGTTGTGAAACTGAATTTGCTAGAATGGAAAAAATCATTAGGTGTCCCTCCAAGCTGAGGTGTTTTGTAAAATGCATTATGTTACAAAGAATACATTCAAAATATTTAAGAACATATAACTCTGCACTTTATTTCATAAATAAAGAGCACTTGAGCCCAAGTTCACCATTCGTATAACAAAACAGCCTATGGAGAAGCATTCTAAACAGCAGATTACATACACAAGCACATTCTTGCTTAAGAGAAAAAAAAGGCTATGCAGAAACAGTTTGAGCTGCTACAGGTTCCTGCTTGTCTCCACGAATGCGAACCACACCTCCTGCCATCTTGGATCCATAATTGCCTGCCCAGAATTGCGTGTCACAGCCAGAATGTCGAAACTGAACAAAACGCACCCCCGATGGGTAGTCACGAAAAACATGTGTGACCTGAAAATAAACAAATGCAAACAAGGATCAATGAAACTGGTCTCTATTAGCTGTCAGAGTGAACACAACTAAGCGTGGTGGCACTTTGTAAAACATCACTGCATCAGGCACAGCTACACATTGTTGCGAGGCGGCACAGGTGCACCGAGACTCATTCAAAGTGCTTCACATTGTCTGCCACAGAGCAGATCACTTTTGCTTTAAACAAGCAGTGACATCAGCTTGATGCATGTCGTGTTTCCTGTGTCAATGCGTGGTTATCGATCCCCTAGCAACAATTCAGTGTTAATAATGCAATGTTATGTCGATTAGCATGACTAGTATCGAACCCAGTTAGAACGGGTGCAATTCGGTCAACTTTCAGCACTGCCAGCGCTGCCAAGTGGTCACCTCCCACAGTCCCATCCCATATCTAACCATGTGGCCACTTTAAACGGTGATGCGAGTTTCAGTTTCCATTTCGTCTGCTCGGCGTACACGTGTATAGGCACATCTTTGCTACCCCCACTGTCGTCGTCTACATCAGCGTTCACAAGAGACGATGAAAACACTGAGGAATATGGAATCGAGGTGATTCGCAGCATGGCAAATCAATTTAGGTTCGATCCTCTTCTGAGCAGAAATTTTGAAATCGATGCGGGACTGAGCAGAGACGACGTAGCTGGAGACTCACGCTTTGGCCACGCTGGCTCGTAAGACATAAACGCTGCGTGCACGTTACTTGTTCACAATGACAGTGGCTTAAATTAACCACATTCATACTCACAACTACACGACAAATAACCCGAGGGGGCACAACGAAAATGCAGTACTCACACGAACGTGCTGCACGAACTAAGCAAAACAAAGCAAGTGAATGGTATAACTATCAGTTAAAGCGCACGAATAAACAGAAAGAAAGAGAGGACAAGTGCTTCTAGCAAATGTAGGGCTTTCAGTATAGACATTGAGGACTTGTACTATTCGATACCTCAAGATGAGCTCATGGCGAGTGTTCAAAGCTGCATCGTGCAAGATAATGATGAATTGTCTTTCAGTCTCAAGTGTGGAACTTCTATATCTAGTTTTCTAGAATTACTTAGCTTCTACCTGAAGTCAACTATTGTGGCTTGGAGTGGCACTCTTTTTGTCCAGAGATCAGGGATATGCATAGGCTCTTCAGTAGCTCCAATTTTAAGCGAAACTTTTCTCGGAAAAATTGATGTAGCACTTCAAATCATTTTTCAGGACTCCCGGTTCGCGTATTCAGATACGTTGACGATTTTCTTGTGTTCACTACGTCCTCAGATTTTACCCAAAATGCTGTGAATATTTTCAAGATTTTTAAAGAAACAGGCAAGAAACTAAACTTTTCTTTTGAATTGCCGCGTCTAAATCAACTGTAATTTCTAGATCTTAACTTGGTCTTCGAACCCCAGCATGTTTGCTGGTATTATTGTCCCAGATCCGTAAAGCCTATACTCAATTACAGGTCGAGCCACTCTAAGCTGGTGAAGAGAGGTATCGTTACTACGAGTTTGGGTTTTGCTCTAAAAAAGTCCTGTCAACACAGAATGAAAATGAGCTTTCATAGTCAAGTAAAGAAACTAGTACAAGCAGGGTATCCTAATGATGTCATCACGTCCGTTTGTAACAACATGATTAAGAAACTTAAATTTGAAGAGAACCACTCGGGGCGTCGTGAAGAGAGTAGAAAAGGTAGGAGGATAGCAGTGATTTCTTACCTTCATAAGACATCACATGAACTTAAGCAACTGGCTAATAGATATAAAGTCGATGTGCTTTTCTCAGCCAAAGGCAAACTGCAGTCTATTTGTTCACGCATGCGCAGAGAGTTTCCGCAATGTCGCATGAAACACAGCAAAAAGTTCGTGGACTGCACAATGGGCGTTGTTTACTTGACTCCTTTTAGCTGTGGTAAAGTGTATATCGGTCAGTCGGGAAGATGCGTCAATGTTCAACTCAGAGAGCACGATTCTTCTTTGAAATCTTTGGGTGCATCGCATCTTGTGGCTCATTGCAGAGAGTGCGGTTGTTATCCTCTTTTTCAGAATACTGAAGTGGTTTTTCGGTCTAAAAATAAATTAACTCGCGAGTTGACAGAAGCTTTTCACATAAGAAAAAGAGGGGAACAACGCGTCAGCCAGCCTTCGGTTTTGCTGCACGATAAAGAGTTTGTTTTTCTAGATTATGTTCCGAGATAATTTTTCTTCTTTTACCATGTGTTCTCGATGTGCCACGGATGTACTTTTTTTGCCTGCACACGCATGCATCGTGTTTTTCAATTGCCTGTATATATATGCCGCCCTTTCTAATAAACAGTTTAGTTGCGAGAAAGCGCTTGTCCTCTCTTCCTTTCTGTTTATTCGTGCGCTTTAAGTGATAGTTATACCATGCATATCCAACTAGCCCAACTTTCGATTCTAAAGCAAGTGAAGCCATAGCTAGGCATCCAGGCATCGCCACCAGACAGTACCACATGTAAACAAGTTGATGACAACATTAAAATTGTTGACGTCATCCCTGCTAACACATTATCACTCTGTGCTTGGAGCTCGCTGAACACATCAAAATACTGCCAATGCCTCATGGCCAGGAACGAGCCATTTAGCCTTTGGAGACTGTCTAAGCTTGAAATAGAACAACTTCTACCTAATGAACACCATTCATACTATGCTAAAGTATTCATGCATACCAAGCAATTGAATGAATGCCACAACTCAAGTTTGAAATTTGGTGCCACTGCTCCTTTAAGGGCCCCTAAACCCCCTCCGATATTTTCTTAAACATTTCAAGTAAACAAGCGCATCGCGTGCAGAATGCCGTCGCGATCAACAATGCAGCACGCCACAGCGCTACAGGTAATAGGCGCGCCACAATTTTGAAAAAAAAATAACAGCCTTTTCTTTCCGGTTCCCACCATTCCCGCCATTGACATGTGTAACATCACCAGTAAAACTCAATGACGTTACCACTTTTGATGCTTGCGATTGGTTTAACGACAACCGACAACTTCCGGTCACTCTGCAAACAGCTGTTCGCACGCACCTTGCTGTTCATGGTCGTGTTGCCTCTTGCAAACTGACATATGGGGCCTGTAACCCAACACAGGGTACATACCGGCACGACAGCAACAGCGGTTAGTCAATGATCAGTGCACCCAGACGACACACACGACACAGTTGACGGCGAGTTGGGTCGTCGGAATGGCGGATCGCGGCAACCGGAAGTAGACGCTGTCTCGAACAGGACGTCGGCGATGACGTATGCCACGCGAGATGAGGAAAGGCACTCAGCTGACTCAGCGAGGAGGGGCCAAGCGGTTTTGAAACGGGGTAGCATAGGAAAGAGGAAAAGAAGCGATCGTCGCGTTTCAATCAAACACGTGTAACTCCACTATTACGGCATCGTTTTGAAAAGTTTTCACGGCTACGTGTTCGTTGTAAATTCAAGCACAACTTCTTCACCTCAACTAAATTTCGACCGCTGGGTGGTTTAGGGGCCCTTTTAGGATACAGGGTAGGGTGAAATAATAATCATTAAAAAGTCGAAATTTGGTTCTTTGGAATAAGGCCTTCCTTGACAGTACTCCGTGCCCTACACATTTTGCGCATTCTGATTGAGTCAAAAGGACCAGGCTTTTAAGACCAACTGATGAGCTACCAAGTCTCCTTTTCTCAGACCGCGCACGACCTCAGCTTTCTGTCACAAGTAAACTTTTCAAAAATCGAAACGGGTAGTTTCTCTCAATATGCAGGTTTATAAAGAACTATTCTGGCTACTACTTAAAGACACATGGCTTAGTTTTTTCAACACAAATTCCACACACACTTGCCTTGTGTGTGTGGAACCTGCATGGGGACAAGGTTTTATGTATTTATTTTAAGTTTAGTTGGGCATTTGTTCAATTTGGTGAGGCAGCAAAAGATATTCTTTATTGGAAAAATCTATAAAACTGTTTAGAAAGCACAGTATACTTGGAAATTGAAATGCTTTAGCTACTAACAGAAATGAGACCGGAAGCAGTCGTGACAGCACTTCGACAAGTGAGCTTTGTCCTCATTCTATGTCACCACAAGAACAATATGTTACCTCTATTGATAATGGCTATGCTTTGATTAACGGGGATCTTCTACAAACCGTGATGACCAGTAACTGTGTCTGAACAGAATGTGGGAGAACCAAGGCACTCATCGAGAACACAATGAATCGTGTTCCTTGGGATAGAAACCCTGAGAAGTGCCACTTTTTGAAACCACTCTAACTTTCAAAAAGGCGTGTTTGGCCTGAGTTAACTTTCTCAACACAGTTTGGCATATGATCTGGGGATAACAGTGCAATATGCTTGGACGAGATTGACCACCTTTGACAGTATTTGGCCACTAGAGACATAGAAGATTTTATAACAAAACAAGCCAAGAAAGCAAGAAAACGAAAAAAAAGAAGTGAAAACTGACTGATGTGATGAGCACATTACTGTTAAGGTGGCGGTTCCAGTCCCTCCTTCTTGCCATAGTTCAAAAGAATACACCAGACGACGTCACTCATCCACACTTGTAAAAAGCAAAAATTGTGCGCGCAAGTACGGTCAGCGTCGCCTCGCGCGTGTCTTGTATGTCATCCGAGACGGCGGAGATCGACCTATGAAAAGCAAGGAGCACAAACGCAGATGGCGTATTTCACCTACAATCCTCCAACTGTGGCCGTCGTTTCGACGACACGATGAAAGGTGCCCCAGTGTTAGCTGGCAGACAAATGTCTTTTCCTATACTTTGTTTCCTATGTCAAGTGCAACGCTATGAAGGCTAACGAGAATTCTTGCAATGAATGCATTTGCAATAAGAAATAGTGCAATTATGTTTGCATCTGAGACATGACTTATTTTTTTCTTTGTGCTTTGAGCGTCGGAGTTAAAAATGCCCCGTTATATGGCTTGTCTTGGCTCTTATTTCTTGATGTTTTACTTGTAGCCTTCCACGACGCTCTGCAGGCGGGTTTCT